GACACGGGGACACCGTCGGGGCACGCAGGGGTGGTTGGAGATGGGATCAGCCCCCCACAACCCCACCGCAGGGCCACCTCAACTGGACACACTGGGGCCACCTCAACTGGGCACCGCGGGGCCACCTGGATACAGCGAACTGGGCATTTGGAGGCCAGGTGGCCACCCCAAACTGGGCACCATGGGGCCATGTGGTCATCCCTAATGGGGCACCCAAGGACCATGTGGCCATCTTGAACTGGGCTCCCTGGGGTGAGGTGGCCACAGCAAACTGGGCTCCCTGGGGCCACACAGCCACCCCAAACTGGGCACCTTGGGGCCAGCTGGACACCCCAAACTGGGCACCATGGGGCCAGGTGACCACTGCAAACTGGGCACCCCAAAGCCAGGTGGCCACCCTGAACTGGACAGCATGGGGCCATGTGGACACCCCTAATGGGGCACTATGGTGCCATGTGGCCATACCAAACTGGGCTCCCTGGGGCCACATGGCCACCCCGAACTGGGCACCCTGGGGCCACCTCAACACCCCAAGCTGGCCACCATGGGGCCACATGGTCACCCTGAACTGGGCACCCCGAGGCCAGGTGGCCACCCTGAACTGGGAACCATGGTGCCACATGGCCACACGTAATGGGGCACCCTGGGGCCATGTGGCCACCTTGAACTGGGCTTCCTGGGGTGAGGTGGCCACAGCAAGCTGGGCTCCCTGGGGCCAAGTGGCCACCCCAAACTGGTCACCCCAGGGCCAGGTGGCCACCCTGAACTGGGCAGCCTGGGGCTACCCCTAATGGGGCACAGTGGGGTCACGTGGTCACCCCTAATGGGGCACCCCACGGCCATGTGTCCACCTTGAACTGGGCACCATGGGGCCACCCAGACACCCCAAACTGGGCACCATGGGGTCAGGTGGCTACTGCAAACTGGACATACCAGGGCCATGTGGCCACCTTGAACTGGGCACCATGGGGCCACCTGGACACCCCAAACTGGGCACCATGGGGTCAGGTGGCTACTGCAAACTGGGCACCCTGGGGGCATGTGGCCACCTTGAACTGGGCACCATGGGGCCACCTGGACACCCCAAACTGGGCACCATGGGGTCAGGTGGCCACCCCAAACTGGGCCCCAGGGGGCCACCCGTGGGGTCACCCCCAGGGGCTCCGTGGTGACAGGACCACCGTGCCGGAGCCGCACTGGGGCTGCGGGGTCGCCCCCGGGGTGGGGGGGTTCCCCGGTAGCCCGGGGGATGCCCCCCCCACGTACACGTGCTGCGGGGCCGAGCGGTGACCCGTGAAATGGGGCAAAATACCCATATTTGGGCATTTTGCAGGAGGGCAGCGCCT